ATATACATAAAAATTTTTAATATTAGTAATACAAAGAATCACATTTATTATTACGAAATTACGTACTTTTGTCAAAATAATACAATTTTTCATTTCCGTTTATTTTTAAGGTAATGTACTTTAATTATTACGCATCTTTTTAAGTAAAATAATTTTGAGAAATATACAGTTTATTTTATTCGTTGTTAATAAATTGCTAATTAATGTATTTAAAAAAAATAAGTTATTTATTAAGACACATTTTCCCTATATGGACCCTTTTTACACTCACTGTATATAACTTTAGTATGTACGCTACAAATAGTAAAACTATTTTTATTATTTACACTGAAAAAAATATTAAACTTTAATAAATATTTGTTTCGATAGTTCTAAGTAAATATTTATTACATGTAAATATATATTTATTTGACAAAAACGATTAATTTGATTTAAGTATTTTTTTATTAATTATAGTAAATGTTCATTTACTCAGTACTATTCGAAGAAGTATTTGTTTACTCAGCATTATTCAAAGAAATATGTATTAAAATTTAGTAAATCTTTTCCTCAGTGTAAAACTGCATAAATAAATTTATCTCTATAATAGTCGGACGTTAGGCAATCTAATTTCTGTAACTCAATAAGACGGGATAAACAAAAGCGTACATCTATAATAGATAATCATCCTTTCGCTTATAACGAATATTCCTATAACAATTCACGAAGGTGATTGAAAGAGTGATTAATCAAATGAGGGAGTTAGCAACTTTTCGGGGAATAAATTCTAGGCTAATTGCGACTAATGTGATTGGGTCACTATCAGGGCGGTGCACGGTGGTAAAAAAGGAAGATAGGGAGTCGCACGGTGTGAAGAATAGTCGAAAAGAATAGCCGAACGGAACAATGATCCGGTAATCGTCTCCCTTCCGGCGGCGGACGTATTAGAATTTATTTCGAATACGCCGGCGGCCGTGTGGCTCGCCAGTGGCTATTGATTAACGCTCCTCGCCTCCGCGCCTCGTTAAAAAGCCTTTCGCCATCAATCTCGACACCTTTTATGATGCCGACGATTACTCTCCTCTCTGTTACGGAGGATCTTTCCTGGAGACGAAACAATTTTTTCGCGTCTCTGGGAATGACTCTCGACGTTACTCATGTTACTCCGTGACGTCAAAAGGAAACACGAGAGACGGCCGCGAGAAGAGGGAGAGATGGGGAGGAAATATCGACTTCGCTCGCGCGACACGATTGCGAATTAATGACGCGACTCGGTTTCGCGAGCGAAAACGTAAAGTATCGGATGTGCTCGTGTCTCTAAAATCTCTCGACGTTTCGCTCGAGATCTCTCGCTTTGTTTCCGTCCGCCTTGTTATTTTCAACGTATTGAATGTCATGCTAATTACGTACGCCCTGATTTCAATATCTGTGCAACTGAAGTCAAAAGCCCGTGTCACACTACGCATTGGAGCAGAAGATTGCGAATTGAAGATTAGAATTCAACCAATTAGATTGAAATAATTTAGACTGGTATTCATAGTCCATTCTTATATTTGAAAATACAGTTTTATATTCTCATATTTGTAATACAGTTATACAATTTTAAGATGTCATAACTCAATTAGAGGGTTGTATTAACACCTTAAGATATTACTTAAGACAATCTCAAAAAAGAACGGATTATGAATACCGCTCTTAAAATTAAAATTATTCCAATTCTAATTTTTAATTTGCAATCCTCAATGTATAGTACGACACAGGCAATTGGCGAAAAGATTCGCGCCACGGTTTTATTTATAATTAGGTATTGAAAGGATCGTGTATTAATTATATGGAAAATTGGGTTCCAACGAAATTAGTCGCATATTTATGTGTATATCTTATTATAATGTAGGGAATAAAAAAATGTCATAGACACAAGGCTCAATAATGGATAATTTTTCAGCTATGAAAAACTATATCAACTCTCTAAATTCTTTGGAGTAAGATTTCACTCTTATGGAATGAGATTTACTCTAAAGAATTTGAAGAGAAAGGTATAAAATTTGTGTTCACAGAGCACCTTTGATGTAAGATTTTGATCGTAAAATAATCGGCGGAATTACATATGGCTAAGCAAACAAATCTATTGAAAGAAATTTATTTTTCTAATCTAGCGTGAAACATGTAATCTATTGTCGTCCATGCTCTCAATAAAGCTGTTATTATTATTATTATGATTATTATTATTATTATTACACGATATATATTCACACTATGTTATAGAACCCCGTAACTAATTACACGAAAAATTGGGGTTCGGTGAAATGAATTAGTTTTTACGTATAATGGCATACAATTACATGTAATAACTTACACTGTGGGGAATAAAAGATATCAGATAGAAGGCTCTTTAATGGATAGCTTGTTAGCATATAATGTTCAGCTACTAAAGGTGTAAAAGATATTCTTGTTCTCACAGAATACCTTTGATATAGCTAAAAAAACTATTCATTATTGAGCCTTGTATCTATGACGTTTTTTGTTCCCCACATTATAATCTACATTATATGCGAAAACTAACTCATTTCATCGAGATTCAATTTTCCGCGTAACTAGTACGAAGTCCCTTAATTTGATATTGAAATTTACAATTTATCGACTTTTATTATTTATAGGTACGTGTCTATAATCGAACGTCTTATCGATTAATAGTTAAAGCAACAACTGCAAAATCCGCGTTGATCCTTCATGAAAAATGCAATCGCTGCATCATCCTGTAAATAAATAAGATCGTCGCGGCAGTCAGCGGCATTTAAGCTCGATGGTTACGTTCAGTTAGCGTTTCTCTCGGGGGTTAGCAATCGTTAAGAGGCGAGAGCGAACAGACTCGGCAGAGAGCAACCCGTGGAAACTAATTGGATATCGCGGGCTCGTCCTTTGCAGCATACCGTTTCCATAATTAAATTGCTCGTGGCCTCGGCGCCGCCGCATGTCGATAATCAAACTAATCCACGGCGCAACATTCCCGGGGTAATGGTTTCGCGCCGTCGACTACGCGGCAGGGTGAGAGGAAGGATTCCAAACGATCATCCCCTCGGCGCTTGTCGCTGCCGCACGCCGCCGCCCTTTTGTCATCGTCGCTTTCGTCGCGTTTCCTTTTGTTTCATTGATAGATCGTTCCTTTCGCAAGAAAGGGTACGTGCACTCGTCGCGCGTTTCGGTTATACGAGGGTAGAAGCAATATACCGAACGACAGATACGAAAATATATAGCGCGACAGAAAGGAGGCGGAAGACGGCAGCGGTTCAAAATAGATGTAGATCTATGGGGTAGACGGAAAAGGCGGTTGAGAGAGAGAGGGGGGGAGGGAGAATTGAGCGAGAGAGAAGCGGAATATCGGGCGTAAAGGACGCGAGAAGGAGAAAGTTCGCGGAAGGACGACACGTTAGCGCGCGCACGTCTCTCGTCCTACCTCGTTTTGCGGGGGGGGAGCCATAAGGGGGCTATAAGGGGGTCATGACTTTCTCCCTACATCTCCCTTGTTTTTTTAAAATATTTACAATAAAATGTTATTATATATTTTTAATATATTTCTGAGATGTTCTTAATCACAATCTCGATATTCCAAAATCTTTTCTAATTTAAAAAACTTCCAGATACAAAAAACACAGATTCTATTATATTCTTCTTTTGCGTTAATATAACTTTAAGTAAAACGTTTTATGAAATATACATTTAAATAATACTTTTTCAATGTAATAATTTAAATAATAATTTAACCTTTTATTCCTTGATAGGAATACATATTTTTACTTACTCCGTAGGCACTCTGGGTCTCCTTTGTCTAGCTTAAATTTTTTTTTACTATTCTAGTTTTTCAAAAAATCTAGAAAAACTCAGGATTGTTTCCCAACATCGCTGCAGCATTGTCAAATAGTTCGTTAACTCAAGTGTTGAAACCTTTATTTAATAAAAATAGAAATTTGCGTGTCAAAAATTTGAAAGTGAAATTTCGCCACGGGTCGAAAAAGACCCAGTGGGTCTACGAAGGGTTAATATTCTTTTCATATTTGACTTTAAAAAAAATTTCGCTTGCGACGTGCCAATGGCTCCCCCCTAGACAAATTTTTGGATCCGCCAATGCGTTGCTCCGATCCTTCCACCTCTTGCACGTCGCGCGCCGCGCCGGCACGGAGGAGGCCGAGCGAGAGCGGGAGATAGGGTGGGCGATGCGTTCGCCGACGCGGACGGCCGCGAGATAGAATGGACGGTAGGGCAGGGAGTGAACGCGAGGGGGTTGAATAAGTCCGTTCGGCTCGTGGTGGAAAACGTGGGAGGATACGGAACAGAAGGAGGAGACAGAGGAACGTCCGTTCCGCGCTTTCCAACGGAGAGTGCGTAATAAAAATATATTTTAACGTCACGTGTAATCTAATCCGCTTTTCACATCGCGCGATCGGAATGAAACGCGTCAAGAGTGTCAAAACTCGGGCTTGTCATCTTTAACGTTTAACAGTAATAAATAAGTCTGTTCGCGTTGCTTGTACTTTTTACACTCAGCATCTTCGCTTTCTCTCCGACATTCGAATATATATTTATCTTCTTATTAAGTACAACAATTTGAAAACTGATATTGTTCGCCGAAGATAAAGAAAGAGGAAGAGCGACGATGAAAAAGAGAGAGAAAGGAGCGAGGGAAGAAAGAGAGAGAAGTCTGCGCGGAGTAGTAGACGGAGCGGGGCGGGTGGTGAGAGGGAAGGTCGCGCGGGATTGGGCGGGAGAGGGGATGTATAGCTGGGTCGAATGCGCGCGATTGGTGGGGGGAGTCGTTGGCCTCGGGAGTCTTCGTCCGCGAGCGGTCTTGCCAGTGCGTTGCGGAACGCGCTCTCCGTCAGGGTCTCTTTGACGTTTCGTTTGTGTGTATGTGCGCGCTCGCGCGTGATAACTGCTGTTTTCGTACCTCCGTTTTCGGAGTCGTGCTCCAGCCGTCCGTCACGCGACTGGATCGAAAAGCTACGGTTTCTATCCGTCTATCTGTTCCTCTTTGACACGTGTGTGTGTGTCCACGCGCGCGCGCGCGCGTGCGTGTGTGTATATATCAGTGTGTGCGCGTGCCTGTGCGTACATGTATTCCGGATGCCCGGTGTATACGCGGGCGGCGTCGTCACGCGGCGATGAACGCCGATGACACACGGGGGTTCCAAGGTAACTTCTTCGTCGGGCGGCGCGCATCGTCGAGCGTCCAGGACTCCTCGCGGCGGCGGTGGCGGCGACGGCGGCGAGCACGCCCGCGGTGCCTACTAGCGGCACCAGGACTCGCGGAGCAACGACGAGCTGCACCTCGGTAAGTGTCGGACAAGCGCAGGACAAGCGCACTACTTTGGTGTATTATCACGATGAGCGCGCGTACACCAGGATATTCCCGTTAGTGCCGTATGTCCTCCGACGAATTCGGAGTACTCGAGCGAATCGCGGTCATCTCGCCGTCTCAGGTAAAAATTCAAAGGAACTGGCGCCATTTTCCGCGCTACACGTTTGAATTTCCGCACGTTGAACGTTCCGATATACACTCCGAGCCAAAAGTTTGGAAATTTAAAAAAAATTTTCATTTTTCGAATTATTTTAAAATAATTATGTAATAGCGCAGAGTATTTTTTAATAATAAGGCTGCTTTCCTTTTAGGAGACACAGTCGACACAAACGTCGTTTCTATCCTTTTTTTTACATTCAACGAGTAACAAAGAAAAACCACACTTATGTTTGCTTGTGTCGATCGTGTTTCCTAAGAAGAAAACCCGTGTCACCCTACGTATTGGAAACTGAGGATTACGAATTATAGATTAGAATTCGACTACTGGTCAGATACCTAATTTAATTTTAATTCGTTTTGTTCTAATTGGTTGAATTCTAATTCATTTCGCAATCCTCAATTTCCAATGCCGAATGCGTATTATAACACGGGCTTTCTGTAATAAGTTATTACCTAAGTTTTAAGTCTTAAGTTTTAAGTCGTAAGAAATTGAACAATCGTAGTTGATTATTCTTTTCGCATTCAAGTGTAACTGGTCAATTTCTTACAAGGCTTAAGACTTAAAGTTTATTGCAAAATGTATGTAGTTCTTTTCAGAGAGATCCAATCTTTTATTAAATATCCCCAACAATATATTTATTAACAGTAATTCTTTAAATCCAATAACAATTATTGAATCTAAAGACTAATGTTAAGAAATTATTGTTAAAAACGTTCTTTTGACAATAATTTTTCAGATCCAGTAACTATTATTGGATCCACTATATGGATAAGTAATCCTAAAAATGTTAATAATATTTAAAAAAAAACTTTGTTTCCGAACTTTTGGCCTGGAGCTCGACCTGAAGAGCTCGACGAGTTTTTTTGAATATACAGTTTAAGATTGCTTGAGTATACAAATATTTTATTATTGCGTTGACATTTAAAAATATCGTCACGACGTACGACTATAAAACGCGCACCAATTACAGCGCTGATTCCTAAAACCTTTTTTCCCCAAGCATTATTTAAATATTATAATTACACTGGTCGACACCATTTTGGCCTTAAAGTAAACGAAGTTGTTTCTGATAGATTTTGATGCGTTGATTACGAATCTGGCCGCGAAAATGTCGTATTACGTCAAGTTTTTGAGATATTCTAACTTAAAGGTGAAAAAAAATGAGGTTTTTGGCCATTTTCAACGACTTATAAAATGTTTAACAATTTTTTTTCAGCATCCAGCCGGATGTCACATTAAAGTGTTATTCTTATCCTTTTTAACGCATATTCGATTGCTATGATCCAACTTTTTTTCGCTGAAATAGAGCAAATTGAATTTTTTATGTTTTTTAACCTTTTGTGTCAGGGTTTTTTGTATGTTATTGTAACCGATTGTTTTGAAAATTTGTATCTGAGGGTTTTTCGGTTCGCTGATTACGAATCTGAAAATAGATTTTCAAAATTCAAAATGGCCGATCCAATATGGCCAACCAAAATCGCAAAATTTCTTCAATTTTTACGAAACAAAAAACCCTGCCACAAAAGGTTAAAAAACATAAAAAATTCAATTTGCTCCATTTCAGCGAAAAAAAAGTTGGATCGTAGCAATCGAATATGCGTTGGAAAGGGTAAGAATAACACTTTAATGTGACATCCGGCTGGATGCTGAAAAAAAATTGTTAGACATTTTATAAGTCGTTGAAAATGATCAAAAATGAAAAAACCTCATTTTTTGTTAGAATATTTCACCTTTAAGTTAGAATATCTCAATAACTTGACGTGATACGACATTTTCGCGACCAGATTCGTAATCAGCGCCTCAAAATCTATCAGTTTACTTTAAGGCCAAAAAAATGTTGAATTTTTGTCGACCAGTGTTATGAGAAATCGATAAAATTCATTATTGTATTGTATATATCGAGATACATTTCGTTAGAATTTTAACAATTAAAAGATAAAGAGACTTTGCTATTCGCCCTACTTGCCCTTTAAACCGAATTCACAGGATGCACATTTTGACACGTACGTCTCGTTGATCGTTGATGTCGAAATAACCGCCATTTTCGTCGCGTCGCGTTATATTAGCCGATTTTTGGCGTGATTCAAATATATCTTCTGCCTAAATTCTAAGCAGAATCGTAAGGTTCGTAACATATTCCTGTAAGACTTGTAAGAATTTTTAAGTGCTTATACCTTTATACGATATTTTTACAGACAGCTTCTTACTAGCCATAAAATTTATAAGAAATCGTAGATATTTACGAATAATCGTACGTATCTAACGATACATACGCATAAAATTAGAATACTAGTCATAAGGTCTTACAAGTTTTACGAGAACACGTTACGAGTCTTACGATTCTGCTTAGAATTGACCCATAAGTCTTCAGGGATCAGAAAACGAAGATAGCCTTAGTACGCGGTACAGTTTGGTTGCTATTAGAGCTCGCTATTATACGTTTAAACGAAAATACGTTTACACGTATAATTAGTATATCCGTTTATTAGAAACGTTTTTCCGAATATACGTATAAAATTAACGAAAACACGTTTACACGTATAATTAGCATATCCGTTTATTAGAATCGTTTTTCCGAATATTTTCACTTTTTTATATAAACATTTATCCCTTTATTAAGGAGTGTGACGAATTGAGAAAATGCAAAAAATTCGATTTTTAATTTTACTAAAAAAAGTTAAAATATTCGAAAAGATTTTTCATAGATGGATATGTTAAATATACATGTAAATGTATCTTCGTTTAAATGTATTATATAATAAAACACGTATATTCGGAAAAATGTTTCTTTTATAAACGGATATGCTAATTAAACGTGTAAATGTTTTAATTTTTACCTTCAAGTAAACGTTTTTTTGAAAGCGAATATAAACGGATAAATGTTTTACGTTTACACGTATCTTCGAAAAAACGGAATAAAATTAGAGCCCTAGTTGCTATACCTGAATTACGCCAAAAATCGCTTATTGTTGAAAGGATAAAGGCCATCACACGTACAAAAATTTTAGTCGCAATCGTAAGGCCATAAGCAAATAGGCCAATCACAATCGAGCGTTTTAAAACGCGAGATCGTAATTTTGATTGTGATTGGTCGATTTGCTTGCGATCTTACGATTACGACTAAAATTTTTGTACGTGTGGATGGCCTTAAGGCTGATATTATATTTGTCGTACAACAAATTTTGTGTACTAATTTACTGCAGAGTTTCTTGGATTCTTATAGATCTTTATCCTACAAATTAATAGAGTTAAAAAATTTATCGTACGACAAAAAAAATAAACGAACAAATATAATATTAGCCTAACATAGCAATAGGTCTATTTGCGTCGCTTGAAATTCCTAAAAATATAAAATATGCACTTAAAATGAAATAGCAAGTTTATTCACATATGCTTGAAATCCCTGAAAATTTTTGTACTCAAAACAAGATAAATATATATTCGGATGTTGAACAGAAAGAAAACGAAGATGCTAGGTGCAAAAAGTACAAGCAACGCGAACAGATTTAAATATATATATTTAGGCGTTGAAAAGAGAGAGAAAGCGAAAATGCCGAGAGTGCAAAAAGTGCAAGCAACGCGAGCAGATCTAATGACGGGACATCTCATATGTTTATGCATGTTTATGACGCGAGTCCCTCTGTGTTTCGTCACAATCGAACGCTCACGCGGTCCCTCCGCGTTACGTTCCGATCAGAATGAAAGGAACGTGATTGGCGGGTCGGATCTCTCGCGAAGCGAGACGCGTGAAGTTGGTCGTGCATGTGGCGCGCGGTCGACGTGACGAATCAGGATATAACTTGTCGGGACGAGTCAGCGTTCTGCCTGTTCCCGTCGAATCGCGGCGCGCCACTGTAATTTCTGACGCCGGCAACAATTTGAAGCAAGTAAGGAGAAATTTATATTAAACGGATATAACAAGAGAAATTGTATTGTACTAAAAAGAGGAAGGAACAAGGAGATATCACGCTTTGCGTCTATTGTATAAAATTACATTTCGTATTCCAACTCCGTGAAAAGATATCGTTACGTTACAATGGCGGGATTACGCGAATGATTATAATGAATTATATACAGGATCAAATATGAATATCTCTCTTTCAGTCGTTATACATATATACAATATATATGTATATAATCCATCACTTTTATTATAATTATTATCAATTTTAATTTGAAGCGATTAACTTGGGAATAATCGATTGATTTTTTTTGTTCGTAAATGATCGCATGGAGTATTTTTACATTCCATTAAAATCATTGTTATTAACAACATATTGTATATTATTTTTTTCTGTTCCGATTTTTATATTTGAGAACATTATGGATATAAATTCAATCATAATTTTCTGAAAAATGTACGTAAAAACCAAACATTAAATGGAGTAAATAAAAACATGTTAAGATAGCTTATTTCATATATGACAGTATTCTTAAAATATAAATTTTAATTAATACATTTAATATGATTTTAAGTATGTTTTTTTATTGTGAATTTTCGATTTCATATTTAAAGGTCCGTAAAGAATAATTATCAAAAAAAAAAAAAGAAAATGGGTTAAACAATATCTATATAAAATAATATTTTACAAAAATATATTCACATTTTTTTGCCACTGAGGTTTAAAAATATTTCCGGTGATTATTCCCAGCAACGAAACTGTTTTAATTTAAAGCAACTACGAGGTAGAAATTGTCTTGGTTACAGAAAACAGATAAATTATATAAAATATTTAAAGGTAACTATATGTATATGTCTACTATATATATAGCACATTGAATATGTACTGTATATATAGTTAAATATTTATAT